GCAAAGTTCTAATCCTGAAGGAACAGGTATCAGAGATCGTGCAGGCGTGCCAAATGGCAAAATCTGGTATCATAAACACAAACTTACTTGATCGAGACGAGGTACAAAGACTTTTAATAGAAGAAGATTCGCTGCCATATCAAAATACCATCGAAGCTATAGAATACGGATCGGCTTCCGTGTATTCAAACGGTAGTATCCTTTTATACGTACTATCAATACCAAAAGTCAAACCAGATGGCTACCGACTTTTAACAACACGCGCCGCCATCATAAGGGGACAACACGTTGAACTTAATGACAAGAAGATGCTGGTAAACGAAGAAGAAACGTTCGGACTGAACGAGGATTTTCCTTCGATTAGCAATACAACAATCTGCTCACCCAAATCTTTAACGAAACTTCCTGAAGACGGATGCCTGGCTAGATTAGTGAAGGGCGGCGATGCTAAATGCCACTTTGAACCAGACAACAACGTAATTGTTGAAATGATCGCCGATGCAACAATATTTACTACAAACTTTCAAGGACCATTGAAGGGGAGGAACTACTCCGCGGTCCTCAACGGAACATACGTTATTTTACTAAATAATGAAACGGTCATGGTGGGAAATCAAACGTTCACCAGCAAATCAGTACGCACAGTGCAGGCTTTGCCACCCGCTTTGGTTAACGTTACAAGTGATGGGCTGAATTTAAATCTGGAGTACATCCACGGGCTCAGCATATATAAAATATTCACCATCTAAAGCAACTTGGCAATAATTTTCACTTCTCCTTAATTTATGACGCTATTGCCTTGACAATCCTGGCAGCCGTGTGCTACATCATCTGGAAAAAAATTACGACTACAATCAACTTTCCTAGGCTAAACCAAACAACCGATCAGGATCAGCCAACGACGCACACCAAAGATCATCTTCAAAAATCGATTCATCGATTGACCTGCAACGTAAGCGATACCAATCGGTTTTATGCAACCAAAATGCAAATCGTGGGAAGCGCAGCGTCAGCAACTAATCAATTAATTCGGGCCATTTAGATACTTAGCGATAGCTTTAGGTAATATTTTGTATTCATTATTATTTGGGAGCTCAATGGTAAATATACACTTGTACTGCTAATCTTGCTTTTCATTTCTATCCTTAGGGAAACCAACTTTAATTTTTTCGAGCACGCATCCGCGAATATCGAATATCGAAATCTCAATACGAAAAATGCAAAATTTAGAAAAAATTCATTATAAGTATAACTTTTTCCAAAGACTCTAACCGTCAACACATTCAGAATTTGCCATTTACAGGCTTTTGAGTCGACACTTCGACTAATAGAACGTTAACCGTCAATATATTTAGAAGGTTTTCATGCTGCAAATTTCTTTGTTATATCCATGGAGCATTTTTGTATGGACCATTTCGCAACAAAAAATTTTTTCGGGGGATTCAGTAAAACTTTTTTTTATATTGAATTTTTCGTTGTATTAATGTTCGTTATATCGAAGTTACACTGTAGATAAAAAATCTATTTCGATCCTAGAATTTATTTCAAATTTCATAGCATATTTTCATTTTTAGAAGCTACTGTTTTGCATTATACTTGTATTTCCTCTTGGCGGACATTTTTGGGTGCATGTCAATCAATCTAATATTACTACTCACTCTCCTTTTCTGCTATTTTTTTTTTTCAAAATTAATTCCAAATTTTAGTGCTAAATACTAAAACCTTTAAGCCAAGGCCAATGCCATATACACAGCACAGGCAATAGAAATCGTCAAAATCCAAGCGCTTTCTTTTCACCGACGGGTCCATTGATCAACTAGTCCGCGCTATTTAACTAGCCGGGAAAGTTATTGAGCGCCTCCCTATAAACGGAGTGTTTCTATATTGATTTGGTAAACAAAACTCGTTCGCTTGCATAGTAAAGTGGGCAAAATTCTTTTCCAAGATGTCAGCATTTTGGCGACTTTTTTGGGAAGAATAACTTTCTCTATCAAAAGATCATTGAACGTTTCAACGCAAGTGTATTTAGCCGGCTTGTCGACTTAATACGGCTGCAGTCCCGAGAAATCGCTTCAAAATTTCTCACTTAAATCTACATTATATGTATAGTGTGTGTCACAGAAAATCGTGCAGGGATTTTT